CCCTGTTATTGTTACTCTCATGGCCCCATTCCACTGATGAGAAAATGGAAATGCAGTCAGGGGCAGAGCCAGGAATCGAACCCAGTTCCTTCCAAATCTTATTTCTTCATCTAAAAGAATGCGAATGGGAATGTGATGTTGTGAGGAGAGCCCTGGGCTACAGTTAGGAGATGTGGCTTGGATGCCAACTAGTTTTCTGTGGTCTTGGAGAGGTCACACCTCTGTTGTGGGCCTCTCTTTTCTCCTCCCCTGCAAATGTTGGAGGAAGGGATGATAGAATCTGTCAAAGCCACTTAAGAGGTGGCCCCTGGACAGGTGCCTTTCTCCCTAAGCATCTAGTAAGGAACCACAGCCACCCTAGTCTAGCCTCCGGGGTGCCATCTGCCCTGATCCACTGCATCCCTGGAAGGTTAATTAGGCAGCATCTGCAACCGAAGGCATCCAGCACCCATGGGGGGAGACGGTCTAAATGGAGCTGGGCCTGCTGGCCAAGCAGCCTTCCAGATGCACCCTTTTTGGGTTCCTCAAAAGCTTCCAGCGAGTGGAAACCTCACCAGAGAGTTGTCCTGCATGGAAAAGCACATCAGTATCATCAACTTTGAGACTCCCTCTTCCTCTCACCTTCCACCACAGTCCACTCTGCCTGCCTGCTGGGTCTGTTCAGAGTTTGGGGAAGAGAGCGGCCCCTGTCCCATCAAAGGTCAGAGCCCTCAACCTAGATCCTCTTTCATTGTTGTCTTCCTCATGTGTAGCCTTTTGCCTGAGTGGGTAACAAATCCAAAAGAGCACAAAGTCCGTCTTCTCCAGACCTACTTGTGGATCACTTGTTGAGAATGCAGGCTGGGAAGGAAGATGAGACCACTTTTTGTGGCCTAATAAAACACAGGGCAGCAGAGCCCCTGACTCCTCATAGAGATGGGCAGTTCATCTGTCATGTTCTTTGCAGAAGCAAATGCTTCCACAAACAGGGTTCTCCACCCATGAGACTGCTAGGCTATGTGGGGTTCTTCCTGTGATGCTACAGGGTCTTAGGGGCACAGCCCAGACACTGGGAACGTAGTGACGGAGCTCCGGGCTGAGTGGAGATAGCGGAGACGCAGAGGAACTCTCCGTGGATGTGGACATGGGTGGCCTGTTGGGAAATGGCAGGCGTTTGGCTCTGTGCTGAGAGGTGGGCAGGCAGAGTCTGTCATTTCCTCACTGTGGGTGGGAGAGGAGCTCTGTGCCCTGGGGAGGTGGGCACTGAGCTTTAGCTTGGCTTCTGTCAAGAATGTGGTATCATTTTTCTCCCTAAGTGACTGGCTGGCCTGGGCCAAGATTCCTGGTCCTCATCATTCCAACCCCCTAGCTCCAAGTCAGAGGGAAGACTTCTAGCTGCTGTTCCTGCCCCAGATTTAACAGCTCACTCCCCACCATTCCCCATGAGCCAGAGAGGTTGTGGATCTGGGCTGGGGCCTCCCTGACCAGCCTGGCTTCATCCTTACTGCTTGTCAGCCTTTTTTCTTGAGGCAGCTGCGCCAAGAGCAAGCTTGTGCCCCCTCAGCTTATCCAGGGACTGGTCACCAGAGTCCTCCAGGGGCACTCCTGAGGGAGGCGCAGGGGAGGCACACACGCCAGCCTTGCCCTCTGGGTCTCAGCAGACCCAGGTTGGAGCACTGGTCCTTTGTAAAGGCTGCCGTAGATTGAGGCCCCACCGTGTGTGCCACATGCTCTTAGGTGTTTCACATCTGTTTTCTCTAATGGGTCAGTGAGTCAGCCACCTGCCCTCCCTGACCACTGGGCACACAGGTGTGAGGGGCTTGCCCAGAGCCCTGCTGCTCGCCCTGAGGAAGCACTCAGTTACCAGGAAGGGAAGGACGCGAGGGAGGAGGCACTCCCTTCTTGCCAAGAGCCGAGGAACTGACAGGAGGCCTTTCACCCCCTCTTGGCAACTGGACCTCACCCTTGAACCTTCCTCCTCTGTTCTTTTCATATTTCTTTTTTTTGGGGTTGGCTTCAAATTATCTTGTTTTGTTTACGTTACACCCAAGTTTCATGGTACAAAAGACTTGCAGGTGCAAATATGTCCCGCCTTCATTAACTCCCCTCCCTTTTTAATTTATGTGATTTCAATTTTCCTTCCCTGTACTGTTAATTAGGGGACCCTCTAATCAGTGCCATTATCACAGTGGTATTCATGTTTAGGAAAGCCGCTAAACAAATGCTTGCAAAATTGCTAAATGGCTAATTAATGTCTGTTAATTAAGAAAATTGCTCATGGTAACAAACCATGCCGTTGCTGGCAGCCGCTAGAAAGACACACACTTGTTGAAATTAGTAGCGTGGCAGGTAGGGGAACATCTGCTCCTCGGAGCTTTCCGGAAGTGAGCAGCTCCTCGCTTGGCCAAGAAACTCCCAGGCCTGTCAGCGGCGGCGCCCTCGGGTTCCTGTACAGCCCCCTGCGATGTTCTCTGCACACGTCTTCTCTGTGGGCCCACTCCCACCGGCTTGGGCCCGCCCCTCCTCTCCAGTGGGCAGGCGGCTGGCAGCCTGGCTCTGCAGGAGAAGGCCGAGGGGGAAACCCTACCTAGGCAGCTCCTCTCTCTTTCTAATTTAGCCACACTCACCCCCTATGCACATTTTGAATTTTTCTAAAAACCAACTTCTAAAAAACAGCACAGTCATGGGTGGGGAAGAGCGAATGGAGGCCTGTCTCCTCATCCCTGGCATCAGCGTCCCGCTCTGGGTGGGCTGGAACGTGCTTCTGAGGCAGCCCTCTACACTTACGGACCCATGGTAGGAAAGTCCTTTGGTGTAGCCCAGTCTACACACACATGAATATCTACACACAAAACCAGGGTTCGTGAAAGACACCTGCCTTAAAGTACACAAAGCTCTCTGATTTTTTTTTATTACCTCGGATTTTTAAGAAATAATTGTTGCAGCTTGCTAAATTGCTGAGTGAGTTTCTACCCATAGTTTGTAACCCCAAGGTTGAAGTGAATTCATCTGCCCATGTCTTCTGGGGTGAGGGGGTGGGGGGTTGAGGTCAGCATAGCCCAGGGTTCAGGCGGTGGGGGTGGGGATCAGCTTGGAACTGAGGTGTGGAAAGGACAACCCACCCACTCGCCCAGCAGGCAGGGGTCCCCACCCTTCATGCACTTCCCCGTCTCCCCACCTCTGCACTGGAACTCTTGGGTTTCAGGGCTGGAGATGGGCATCGGACCCATGGGGTTTCTCATCCCAGCTCTGCCACTGACCAGTTTTGTGGCCATGGTCAAGTTCCTTCATCCCTTGAGACTCAAATTCCTCATCAGTAAAAATTGGATTGAGAAACCCCACCTCCCAGAGCTGCTTTGAAGTGCAGGTGAATTTACGGTTTGCGAGTGTGCACTGCCCACACCATGTGGCCCTCACTCACTGTCCCCCCACTCCCTGTGTGTGACATCTGTGGTGCCCTTTGCCCCTCCTGCCTCTGTTATTTATCCATCGGTGCCCCTGGCCCTCCTGACCCCAGGAAACCTGTCACCTGGGCATCTCCCTGACACTCGATCAGTCCTGTCTCGTGTCACCCATAGCCGTGTCACTGTCCCCCAGACTGTGAGCTCCTTGAGGGCAAGGCCTTTCCCGATCCTTCCCCACCTCCCACGCAAGTGGCACCTACGTGCTTTGCACCTGGGTCCCCTGTTTCTGTGCGTCACTGTACTCCCTCTGAGCCTGTCTCAACCAACGTATTTAACATGGCAAACTCTGCTCCAAGGGTAGGCTGTGTCCAGGACTGTACTCCCGTGTGCTTTGACAGAGGTGCTTCATTTTTTGTTCTTTCAACCCTCTGTGAATGTATTTATCAGCTTCTCTCGCTCCCGCTCGCCGTTTTACACCATTGAGCCGGTGACCAAAGCAGCAGCTCCACCACCTCCCACCAACCAGAGCCCGCCCCCCGCACGCCCGCCCGCCGCCCACCCTTCGTTTTGGTTTAATTTTTGTTCTTTTAAGCTTCTTCTGCGCTTCTCCATGTGCTGTGATCTATAACCTGCCTCTACTGTCTGGCCTCACAGGGTCCTCCGGGGTCACAGCCCTCGCCGCACGCACAGCCTCCACCTCACAATCCTAGCAGCATGATGGGACCCCACAGTCAGGTAAACGCACCGTGGCGCTCCCGCCCGCCGGGGACGCGGGGCGCGGAGGAAGCAGAGAGCCCGCAGAGGAAAAACAAAAATCAAAATGTGCTCTAGCCACTGCCTGCGAGTCTTTATTGACAAATTAAATTTTTTTAGAAATTTCTTTTTTTCTAAAGATAGTCGTCAGTCCTCGGACCTCACACCCAGCTTGGATACAAAACCAAAAGGAAAATATATATATTTCTGTGACCTTGTCAGCGGCCTTTGCGTTTTTGTTTTTTCCTCTCTCACTTTTGGTTTGGTTTTGAGTTTGGTTCACCATTTGTTTGTAACCGAAGCTGCATCCCAAGCCTTTTCTTTGTGCACTCGCGCTGCTGAGAAAGCTTTCCTGCCATTCCCCTGCATTAAGTTAGGGAGCCCGCTGTCTCCTTCCCGTTTCCATGGCGTTTTCCCCCCAGTCCTGGCTCCCATCTCCATCCCTGCTGGTGGTTTCTGTGTGTGTGTGCCTGTGTGCGTGCTCGTGTGTCCAGCTTTGTCTGCAGACCCTTAAAATGTTATGTATAAGTCCTTCTTAGCCTTTTATTTGCCCTTACGGAGAGCAGAGGTTTCCTCCTCTGCCCTGCATTGATTTAACTGTTTTTCCGTGTCTTATGCAAAGTCCTAGCCGCTGCCCGTCCACCCAGAGTAGATCTCCACAAACAAATGTGGAGTCAGGAGACGCATTTGTTGTGTGGATCTATCGTTCCCTCTGCCCAAAGGAAGTTTTGCTCAAAGGGAAGAGGCTACCGGGAGAAAGATCACTAGTTATAACAAAACTGGACTTTGTGGAGTGGAGAGCATTTGTGTTTGTCACTGTGCAGTAGGGCAGGCTGTCACTGAACTAATTCCCTATAATTGCAGCCTTTTATGTCACCGCGATACGCAGGCGGCCCCAGGCCCCCGATCAGAATGGGAAACCAGGTACTGTACCTTTTCATGTTCTCTCTTCCCTCGTTCAGCCATCCTTGGCCCTAGGTGGACTTTGACACAAAATGAAAGTTGAGGGAAAGGATTGAGGGGTGGAGGGACAGGTTTAACGTGGCTGGTAGCTTACTAGCTGTTCCCCAGGGAGGGCCCCACGTCCCCAGTGTGCCCATGGTGCAGCAGTTCACCTGCCTCTCCAGATGGCCTTTGGACAGCCCATTCTGGAGTTCAGAAGGTGGCAGCAGATGGAGCCAAGGCGCATCTGGGATTGCAGGGTTTCGGCTATTCTAGAGAAGATGGTAATGCCCTGCCCCTCCCTTCCACCCCCTTCTTGGAAGAGGGTCTTCCTCCTTAATGAAGTTAATTGACAATGTGCATTTTTTCCTGGAAGCTTTTGAGAATTGCCAAGGCTGGTAAATATAATCCTGCTATTAGGGGGGGAAATGGCCCGTAGGAATGCTTAGATCAGGAGCCTGGATGCAGCGGAGCAGGAGATTTGTGAGTTTTTCAGCAATGTCTGCCTGCTTCCCAGACCCAACTCAAAACAAGAAAGGATTTGTTCATGTAATTAGAAAAGGAGTCTGATTATGGGGAGGGCCTTTTGCCTGGGGTCATATGCCTTTCGCTGGCCCATTAGGGTTGGCAGTTCTAGGTGGTCTGGAGAAATCAGCCTCCATGCCACCCTCCCTGGTTCAGGGCAGGAGAGGAGTTGTAGAAGTAAATATGAATAGATGCCTCTTTTGAGGATAGACAGACTTAAACTTTCAAGAAACATCAGGGAAATTTTATGCCCCAGTTTTTTTAAACAGAATTATTTCAGTGACTTTGCAAAAGCCCTTCAAAAAAATCTGACAGCAGCGCCAGCGCATCCAGCCCCTGTTGCCTTTGGAACTGGGAGTTTAGTCACCAGCTAAATTGGCATTGTCGGAGTGTGATGCTTTTCATTCTCAGGGCTCTACAAGAAGGCTCCTGAGTGAGGTAATGCAGGCACTATGGAGAGATGATTATAACCAGGGGTCTCCAATTGTCTTTTTTTTTTTTTTTTTTTTTTTAAACCGGAGTCTCGCTGTCTTCCAGGCTGGAGTGCAGTGGTGCAATCTCTATTCACTGCAACCTCCGCCTCCTGGGTTCAAGCAGTTCTCCTGCCTCAGCCACCCAAGTAACTGGGATTACAGGTGTGCACCACCATACCTGGCTAATTTTTGTATTTATAATAGAGACAGGGTTTCCCCATGTTGGCCAGGCAGGTCTCAAACTCCTGACTTTATGTGATCTGCCTGCCTTGCCCTCCCACAGTGCTGGGATTACTGGCATGAGCCACCGTGCCTGGCCAGCTCTCCAATTTTAATGTTAAATTGCCTATCGGGTTCCCATCTTTTTTTTTCTTTTCTTTTTTTTTCTCCAAAAGTCCTTCATTTTCTATTTTCTCTGACATGAAGGGGACAAATTTGGACAAGAGGAATTAAAGACGCAGCTTTTTGAGCAAAAGAAGGGGTCCCTGGATACATCACAGATGAGGAAACAAAAGGTCAGAGTGGAGGAGTGACTTCCCAAAGTGAGCTGGGCTGGAGTTGATCTTGGTTCCAGCCCAGTGCTGATTGTACTCCACCCCACCCCATTCATCAGCTTTCACAGATGTAAGATTGCTGCCCCCATCTGTGTTTTTAACCCATCACCACTGGGCCTGCTTTGCCGTGGCACATAGGGGCCCCAGCAGCAGCCTTCCCACCAGCCCACCCAGAAGCTCTTCTTGGTCCAAACTGGCCTCTGCCAGGGAGAGAGGAGCTACTTCCTTATCATAATTGTGGCCCTTCTTCCGGCAATTAAAGGATATCGAGAGGGGGTGTGTATGTTTCTGCTCAGCAACTAATCATGAGCAACCACTCGAGAGCAAACTGGGGATAAATCCATCATCTGTACTTTGCATTACACACCAGTTTTCCCAACCTCCCTGCCACCCCCCAGTAGAAATCTACACTAGGGCTGGGCGTGGTGGCTCATGCCTATAATCCTAGCACTTTGGGAGGCTCAGGCAGGTGGATCACTTGAGATCAGGAGTTCAAGATCGGCCTGGCCAACATGGTGAAACCCTGTCTCTACTAAAAATCCAAAAATTAGCCAGGCATGATGGCGTGTGCCTGTAATCCCAGCTCTCTGGGAGACTGAGGCAGGAGAATCACTGGGACCTAGGAGACGGAGGCTGCGGTGAGCCAAATTTGCGCCATTGCACTGCAGCTTGGGTGACAGAGCGAGACTCCGTCTCAAAAAAAAAAAAAAAAATCTACTCTGGTTTTCCAGTTCCCTTTGACCTCAAGAAATTTTTATCCTCCAAAGAGGCATGTGCCCCTTCCACAGGTATTGTCCCTGGGGGTTTCTTGAAGAGTGCCCTCGTCGGGGCTGCCAGTTAACAGAAGTCCTGTGCCACCCGAGTTAGCTCAGTTCTCTCCTGTGATGAGTGGAGGGAGCAGAGACTAAAGGACTTGCTGGGGCTCACAGGCCATTATGAATGTGCCTTCTGGGTGAGGGGATTGAGAAAGGGCCCTTAGGGGAACAAGAAGCAAAGGGTCAGTGACGTGGCCTCAGGGTCCTTGGTGACTCAGCCTGCCTCCCATTTGCCTCCCTGGCTAGAGGCTGTGCATGGAGAGTTGCTGTTTTTTCAAGTGCGGGTGGTTGGATGGGTGGTGACCGTGGAGTTCAGCTGGGTTTAGGAGGGAGTGGCTGGAATCCAGGGTTGTCAGAGAGCCCTCCCACACGCATCTCGGTGGAGCTCCCACCTGGCAGGCTGGCTGTGCTGGCGGGGCAGGTGAGACAGCACGCGGATGCAGCAGGGATTTGTCCATTTCCTGGGCAGATGCTTCCTGTGCCTTGCCCCACACGCAGTGCTGTGGGAGAAGAGCTGGCCTCTGTCCAGGAGCCCCAGAGCAACTCGCTCCCCTGTAGGCCCCAAGGGTGTGTGCACAGCATGTAATTATGGCCCCATATACGAGCCATTGTTTTTCCTCAAGTTTGAGGGCTTTAGCCCTCTCAGGGTGAGACCCCTTCCCTTGGTGATTGCACAGCTTCTTTCCCTGATAGAAGAGGCCCAGACTGTCTGTCCCTGTTTCAGGGTCACCTCAGTGAGGGACGCGACCTCCAGGCCTCCTCTGAGCCTCTGGACAGCCAAGCTTTGCCCCTGGAGTTCCGATACATAAGAGGGTTAGAGGAACCCACGGAGGAACTTTCTCCAAGAATTGGTGGTCAGCACTGGGCTACATGGAGAGAGTGACTGCCAAGCCCCACGGCTGCACTGTCAGGGTTGGATGAGGTGGTCCTGCGCTGGGTAACTCATGACCCTGACGGTCCCCCATCCACCTCCGTGTCCTAGGATCCTGCACTCCAGACAGCCTTAGAGGCGGGCCTTCCTGAGTCACCAGGACTCTATAAAAACCACAAACCCCCAGTGGGCAGACACAAACCAGCCAAGTGATTCAGAGCTGGGGAACCTGGGGCCAGGAAGCAGGGCTGGGAGACAGTGAGAGGCCGGAACAACTAAAATCCAGGGATTGGAAAGACACTGAGCCCCCACAGGCAGACGGAAACAGCAGGTGCTAATTGCCACTTTGTGGGCCAGGCGCAGAGGCTCACACCTGTAATCCCAGCATTTTGGGAGGCTGAGGCAGGAGGATTACTTGAGCCTAGGAGTTTGATAGGAGTCTAGGCAACATAGTGAGACCCCATCAATACAAAACATTTAAAAATTAGCCAGGTGTGACAGCGCGTGCCTGTAGTCCCAGCTCTTGGGATGGCTGAGGCAGGAGGATTGCTTGAGCCTAGGAGTTCGAGGCTGCAGTGAGCTCTGATCACACTACTGCACTCCAACCTGGGCAACAGAGCAAGAGACTCTGTCTTAAAAAACAAAACAAAACAAAACAAAAACCAATTCTACTTCGTGAACGTTAGACACTCCCTAGGCCCTCACACAATCCTCTTGCACCTTAACCACACCCACCTGCTCCCCTGTTCCATTCTGAAGCTGGAGAAATCAGTGACAGTCTGTCCCTTCGCTTTCCACCACCTTGTTCCAAAACCGGTTTGGAGTTCACCATTGAGCTCAAGGCAGAGGAGCTCCCCACTCAGCCTCCCCAACAGCAGCACAGCCTGGGCTGGGGGCCCTTGAGGACAGACCCCTGTCACAGATGCCCAGCCTTTGAGCAGCACTGGCACCTGCCAATAGGGAAAGATGACCAGCCATCACCAAAGGCTTTTCCTCTCAAAGGCAAAGGCTCGTATTTAGCCCTAAGGGATGGGGTCCTAGAAACAGAGTTCCCCCAGCAAATCCTACTATCTTTTTCCTGTTGCAGCTGAAATAATTTCAGTCTCAAGTAAATCGCTTTTAATAGGTTTTCACAGCGGGTGGGCCAAGTGTTCACCCAGGAAACCCGTGGCCCCCACGTTTATCTTCTCATTAGCAACCACACCAGCACTGCCGATGGCCCCAGCTCCGGAGCCGGGTTCTCGTCCAGTACCCCTGCCCCTCTCCTAGTGGCCACCTCTCCCACCCCAGGGCTGGGTGGCATTCCATATTGGAGAAGCTGATGGGATATAACCTGGGTGCTGCTTGGCTCTGCAACCTGTGACTGGGAGCCCTCAGGCCTGTGACCTCAGTTTCCCCATCTCAATCCTAAAATCCTCCTCATCCTCTGTTCCCCTTTAAACAGGGCTTCCCACAGTGATAGGATTTTAGGTAGTGGGTGTCTCAGTCCCCGTAATTTGGATAGAGCTAAAATGAGGTGTGTCTCTGTGAGACAAAGGCAAGATGGGATTTGGGCAGAAGGAGGGAGTGGGCACTGCTGCCTCTGAGAACAAGGTGGTCGGTGCTGCAGCCAGAGCAAGACCTAGAGAATTTGGTCTCCTACCTCATTTCAGAGCTCTGATAGGTACCCAGACTCCCTACCCCAAGACAGCAGGATGAGGTGACAGTTTCCCTCCCACAGAGCCCCGCAAACAATGACACGGTTTTAGCTAACACCAGTTTGAGCTGACTAGTAGGCCTGGGGTGACCTTCTCCCATTGGCAGGCAGCAGAAGTAGTCTCAGGGAGGCCATGAGTGGCCCCACGTGGTCAGGTGGGGAACTGGGTGGGACAGGTAGGTGCCTCTCCCCATGTCCAGCAGCTCCGGAGCAACTGCTCAGCTTGTGTCTTGCATCTCTTTCAGCCTCCAGGAGGAGTTCCTGGGACACAGCCATTGCTGCCCAATTCCATGGATCCCACACGACAACAAGGTAGAGAGGGCGGGGTGGGCCTAGGGTGGCTGGGGATGCCAGGAGGGGCTCCTCCTCCCTCGACTCCTGCCACCCCATGGCGCGCCTCCTCTCTCACACAGGCCACCCCAACATGGGAGGATCAATGCAGAGAATGAACCCTCCCCGAGGCATGGGGCCCATGGGTCCTGGCCCACAGGTAACCACTGCCTGTCTGTCTGTCTGTCTCCCTGGCCATCTGTGTGCACCCGCCTTCTCTCCTCTTTCCATGCTGTCAGTCTCCCACATCTCTCAGTTCGCAGGGGTGAGAGGAAGGGCATGGCCACATCCCCTGCTCCTGTCCCCTTCTGTGACAGACTGGCCTCGCGCTGCCCAGGGTAGCCCCTCGCGGATGACAGGCAGAGTTGAGGCCCCCCTCCCCCAGGGAGCTAGGAAAAAGGGGACAGCTGAGGCCTTCTAGTTGGCAGACCCTTTTGGGGTACAGTATCCTATCATGGGGTCTGAAGGGCAGGGAGCTCCTGAACCCCAGAGCTGCCTCCCCTGGGTGAGGTAGGCTTGGGATGGCTTAGGGCCAGCATTGGTTGTGTCCCAAGGCGGGGCGGATGAGTGGCCTTCCTAGCTCTGCCTGCAGCTCAGCATGCTTCTGTCCTTGGATGAATCACTTTGACCTCTGTGGGCCCCAGCAGGCCTCAGTTTCCCCACCTGTTAAATGAGGACTGTGTCCATGATTCTCTGATGAGGGGGCCACACTGACAGGACCCCAGCACCCACTTCAGCCGGGATTCTTTCTGACCAGAGGGCTCCGCTGCCGCAAAGGGCAGTTTAGAAGCCATTGGAAGAAAGCATTTCAGGTGCCCTCACATACCTCTTACAGTCACAACAAAGTCGTCGCCCCTTGTGGCCAGCTCCGCACCCCAGGTAGGGGTGTCCAAGAAAAGGTCTGACAGGTGTTCTGCTGTGGAACCATCTCGCTGCTTACCGTGAGCCCTCTGGGTGTTTGCATGTGGCTCTGTTTCCTGTAGTAGCCGTGGCAGAGCGTTCGCGATGTTCCACTCGCCTTGGGAATTCTCTAGCCCCTGACTAAAGGAAGCTGGAAATCTGAATAAGGCAAGGGGCTTGTTCTCAGGTGTTCTTTCCCTTTTCTGTTCTGCCTGGAGTCCGCTGCACTGGTCGCTCCCTCGGTTGCATGTCGGTGTTCAGGACTCTCCGGGCCCCCTGCACTGGTTTCTGGGTCCCCTGGGGGTGGAGTAGTGCGCTCCCCATTCCCGCCCACATGTGCTCCCTTTTGTAGGGAGAGGCATCTGCCCCACAGAACCACAGCCCTCTGCTCCATCCCAGAATTGTATTTACAGCAAGCCCAAGCTACCGCGTTCTTCTCAGTGGTGGTTGGAACATCTGTGGTGGTGAAAGATTTTAGGGAGGTCCTTGTCTTCTGCCAGCCCCATAATCCTAAAAGGAAGCAAGCCCGCAGTAGTCGCAGCTCCAGTATTCTAGTTTTGTTCCTTCCTCAAATCCTCCAAAATTCGTGTTTCTGCTAGCTCCTTGTAAGCTGCCAGAGTGGCCCCTTCCTGCCTGGCAGACGCTTGGAGCTGACCTCTGCAGGGCTGCCTGCCTAGGGAAGGGGGCGGGGGGCAGGGTAGGAGCAGAGCTTCCCTTCTCCTGAGTCAGATGCAGCTCTCCCTCCCCACAGCCTGAGCCGCACAGCAGTCACATTTTATTGGTGTAGAAATCAGCAGTGGCCTTGGATTGTCAGATGTCACGGGGTCTGTGTGACTCAGGAGGATGGAATCTGAGGAGGGAAAATTGAATGCCACCGCCCAGCCTGTGGATTCTGACGCTCAGCAGCTGCATCTGTAAAATGGGAATAAGAACGGTGCCTGACCTGGAGGGCTGCTGGAAGGAGCAGGGTCCAGTGTCCAGTTCCTTTTTTTTTTCTTTTAGCAGGAATCAAATTCTTTTTTTAATTTTTATTTTTAAAAAATTAAAATATTTTTTATTTTAAAGAAAATGTTTTAATTTTTAAAAATTTTTTATTTTATTTTTTTGAGGCAGGGTTTACTCTGTCACCCAGGCCTGGAGTGCAGTGGCGCCATCTCTGCTCACCACATCCTCAGTCTCCCCAGTAGCTGGTACTACAGGCTCCCACCACCATGCCTGGCTAATTTTTGTATTTTTAGTAAAGACAAGGTCTTGGTAGAGACAAGGTCTTGCCATGTTGCCCAGACTGGTCTCGAACTCCTGGGCTCTAGCGATCCCCCCACCTTGGCCTCCCAAAGTGCTGGGATTATAGGCGTGAGCCACCGTGTCCGGCCAAGTCAAGTTCTCGATGTGATGCTGGCCACAGGGTGCTCCCCCTAAGGAAGATATTTGTGTTTTCCAACTTTAGGGACTTAAAACCAATGTTTAGGCCTCTAGTTGCTTGGGTTTGGTGATTGCTTTTAATTTCTTCTTCTTTTTTTCCTGGCAAAGTCATTAACAGTTTGGACCATCGTAACACTGAGATTCTAAAGGCTGGGAATAGATGTCAGGCTGTTTAAGAGCAGCAGGGTGTGCTGGCAGTTCAGGACTTCCTCTGGGCACGGTGGATGTCTCATCATGTCTGCCCCTGACCCGTAGTCCAGCACACTCTGGCACACTTTAAAGAAGTGAGGGTCCCAGAGGCTGAGGCCGTGCACTGAGACTCTCCTGGCCTCACCCAAGCATTGTACAAGGGGTGGAGCTCCCCTTAGACTCCAGAAGTGTCTCCAGCAGGAGAGGGAGAGGCTCACCCATCTTTGTTTACATTACACACCCTTGCCAACCTCAGGAGCTCTGGAAGCGTCTCTCCTGCTCTTTATTTTACTTGATCAATGTGGAGACCCTAAAGCGCTTCACCCATGTTTCCTGTACTCCTCTGGGTAGGGTAAGTATTAAATCCAGAGCCAAACGTCCCTTGAAGCAACCCAGGGTATCTGCACTGGCCCATCACTGGGATCAGGAAAGCTTGGCATTGATGAAGCACTGGGCCCGGACAAGGTTGATGGTGCAGGATGGATTACAGGGTCTGTGGTCAGCTAGGGCTCATCTTGGGCCCGGCAGAGCCTGGCGGTTTTGGACTCTGAGGTGGAGAGTAGGGAGAGGGCAGACTGTCCCTGTTCCCCAGGCCCTTTCTCTCTCTCCCCTGAGGGTGATGCCCTGTGGACAGGACAGAACTTAGTTCTGGAAAGCAGTCTTGACAGCGGCTCAGCCTGGCTGGGCCTCCAGTTCGTCATCTACAAAATGGGCAGCAAGTGGTGGCCTCATGGGGCTACTGGAGGGCGGGCGAAATAGCAGCTGTGTCCCCACACGGTATCCTGTGGATCCCTTCCCCTTCCCGCAGGCCCTGAGCTTGGGGGAGGCAGCCCTGCCACAGCCCAGGCTGTCAGGAAGGGCGGCCAGCCCCTTCAGCCTAGAGTAAGTGCCACTATGCACACAGTGCTGTGCTGAGACCAGGCACAAAGGTGGGAGACCATCGGCATGTCATTTGTAGCCAGGAATTAGATTGCTTTTAGCCAGTGACCACTCCAGAACTTCCTGAACAAAGAATAGGTACAGTGTGGTCAAGGGCTACTTTATTTCAAAACCAAATGGAGTGACATTGCATTGTGTGAGTCTGTGTCACATGTCAGCCTAAATGTCTCAAAGGAACCAGCAGTGCAGGCATCACCCCGTCCTTCGTCCTCCGTGCTTCAGACGGATTTTACTCTGGTTTCGTAAAGTGCCAGTGCCAGAAAGGAGATAGTACTTCCACTTAGAACTCTTCTTTCCAGAAAGTTTTATGTATGTCAGTATCAGCCTAGTGTTTCAAAAGTGAATTCTAATAGGATGAAGCTAAAACTGAGGCGCCCCTGGTCGGACTTAGTAGAGAGAATGCCAGCCCCCGTCAGAAGAGCAGTGGCTCCCAGACTCCCGGGTGCCGATTCCCAGAGCCACCAACATGTTGGCGTTTCTGGTATTCAGGTTAGGGCTGAAGCCAGGACAGAGTAGAATCAGGTCACTATCCTGGTTTGTCTGCATTTGAGAGTTCAGATGAAGGAGAGAATCCACAGCCCCTGGGACGATCCTGTGCCGCCCCCATCTCCTGGGGCTGATCCAGAGCCAATCCAAGCTCAGTGACACTGAGCAGAGGCCCCCAAAAGAGAGGGGTGGGTCATTAATCCTGGTCCTGAGCACCCCGGGCTGGTGAGGAAGGAAAAGGGCCCCTTGAGGAACTTAACTCTGGTGGCCCCTGGGGGGTGTCCTGCATGAGATGGCCAGGCCCCCACTGCCCAGAAAATGGCCTGGACAGCCTCAAGTCCACTCTGGTAGGTGAGTCCTAAAGACTAGGAGAGCTATCCCCTAAGGTAATTACAGCACTGGGTGGTCCCCCTCTCTTATCTGCCTCCTACAAGATGCTTGGCTAAGAATGCAGACTCGGGGGGTTGGCAGATCCAGGTTTAAACATAGTGGGCACCTCAAAAGCCTTTCTGAGGATGTGGCAGGAGGGAGCAGCAGTCACCACCTCCAGGCTCCAGCCCCAGCCAGCTGCTTGGTCCTTTCTCCCTGCGGACCCGGCGGAGTACAGAGCTGAGACAGTGGTCGGGGCACCTGCACTGTTGCTGAGTGTGGATTAGGCCCTCTGCCCAGGGTCTGGGGCACCCAAGTGGGGACTAGGGTGAGGGGTTAGGGAAGACAGGCCCCTGTGAATGTGTCCAGCCCCACAGCTGCGCTGGAGGCTCCTCCCCTCTGCCCAGTCGCCCCTGCCCCTGCAGAGTGGTGCCAATGGCAGAGGGATATCTGGTTGGTAACTGACCCTTGCACGGCTTCACCGTCATCACCTCCAGCCATGTGGTGCTGCAGGCAGGCTGGAGCTGGCCAAAGAGGGAGCCCATTTCTACTGAGTCTGAACTTCTAGGCGTTCCTGCCCTATGTGAGAAAACTTCGCTGCAAACCAGATTTCAGCCTGCTACTTGCTCCTGACATCTCTGTGGCCTTGGACACGTCTCTGGCTTTCTGGGCCTCCAAGTTGTCATCTGTGAAATGATGAGGTGCAAGTGGCCCTTCAGGGTCTCTGCCTCTGTAGGCGGCGGGACTGGCGGAGAAGCTCCCTCTAGGAAGCTGCCATGCCAACTCTTGGAGAGGCCCCTGAAGGCTGGGCGGGACCAGGAGCGACAGGATAGTGCACTCGGAACCTCCCAGCTCAGAGCTGCGTTCTGCGTGTCAGGAGGGCTTTATGGAGTGAGCGCCTACCTGTCGTCTCCTCTCACCCCACTCCATGCTGAGACATCCCAGGCTTCCGCTCTCACTGTGAGGTGCAGGCCTTTCTCCTGGAGGGAGAGGCGGCTGCAGTCCTGGAAAAGAACTCCATCTGGAAGACCTCTAGTCAGCTGGCCTGTACACAGAGGGGGAGAAGGCCTGGGGAGGTGGCAAGCTGCTTGTCCTGGAGCAGCAGGTGGGGAGATGAGGCTGAGATTTGTAGAGGGGATTAGAAAAGGCCCTTTGAGACCCGAGCTTCTGCGATGCTGTGGTAGCATTAAGGGCTTTGGTGTTTGTTCTGCTGCTGACATCCCAAATCAGTGCACACCTCCTGGGGCTTACGGGACACTTCAGAACCATTGTTTCATTTGATCCACTGGAGACCTGCAAGGTTGGAAACACATGGGGCTCTTTGTCCCCATTTTGTAGACAAGGCAGCAGAGCAGAGGGGATTGTGGCTCTAAAGCCAGAGCCATGCTGCAGGGCTTTGCCCCAGCTCAGCCACTCACAGCTGCACGGTGGGGTCATCATTCTTCCTCTCTACCTCAGTTTTCTGGTCTCTAAAGTGGGTGGAGGAAAGGGGTCACTGTGACAATTAATTGTAGGCAGTGCACACACAGTCTGTGGTACATCTGGGCGTGGAGTCAGCACTGTTGTCATTTGGTAATCTGCCCATCGTCACCAGCAGGCAGCCAAACCAAGGCCAGCCTTCCTGTGTTCTGACCTCCAGTCTCGAGTTCTGCTCTTTACCCCGTGGTAGAGTGGGCTTGGCCCCAGCACATTCCCCCAAGGCTGCCACTGTTTGCTTGAAGCCGGTGCCCTGAGCATCCGCAGGGTGAGGCAGGCCCTGCCCTCTCTGGCTCTGGGTCTGGCTCTGTGTCAGCCAGCCTAGTATTGCTCCTGTGATCCTCTGCATCTTGTCTAGACATTCTTCTAGACTCCAAACCCCTCAGTGGCTGAGCAAGCGGAGCAGGTGGCCCCAGGATGGTGAGATTTGGGAGATGATCCCTGGATGCAGAACCCACCATCAGCCCGATATTGGCTTTGTGTGTGTCAGCTCCAGGTCTCCGTCTTCCCATTCTGTCCCCCTTCCCACCCGCCTCCCACCAGTTGCTTGGCTAAGCAGGCAGAATCTGGGGGCCGGCAGATCTGGGTTTAAATCCTAGCTGTGCATTTGCTCACTGCAACTTGAGGCAAAACTTTCTCCCTCAGACCTTCAGTCTCCTCTTCTGTAAAGTGGGAACAATACCAGCCTCCTGGAGTTTTCATACAGATCAAACGAGAGACTACAGAAAGTATGTCATGCACTCCGTATAGGGCAGTGAATGCTGGCTGTTCCTTTGCCATCAAAATTCCAGCAACCTACTTCAAGTTCTCCTACAAGGGCAGAGCTTAAGCTGCAGCCAGGCTCCCTTTGGTCTCCATGCATTCCCTTCTTCAGTCCTTCATTGATTGCTTCAGTGTCGGCGTAGTGAGCACCAGTCTGTGCCACTGGGTGCATGGGGCGGGGGGCTATGATCATCAAGGCACAGCCCCACCTTCAGAAGGCACTTGGAGTCCACTAGGAGAGATGGGAGATGGACAGACACGTGGCCATGATCAGAACCCAGTGTGGCATGGTGGCAGGGGAGGGAGGTTAGAAGGCATTGTGGGAGTAACGGATGGAGTAGTCAGCCCCAAGGGGTGGAGTGTCAGGAGGGCTTCCTAGAGGAGCTGCTGTTGGAGCTGAGTATTGGAGGACAAGTAGGAGCCCGCCATGAGGGGAGCAGGGAAGCGAGGCATGTATGACTGTAGGGAAAATGACACTTGTAGGGAAAATGACACTTGGAGGGAGGGTCACAGGCAACACTGGCCTGGTTATATAGGAAGAGATGCACGCGGTAAGAGGCTGGTGCCTGTGACCCACCCCGCTGTGCCTCAGTAGGCCATCCTGAGCTGAATCTGGACTGCTGGGACTTCGTGCGTTCTGTGTAGACTTCTCTCTCAGACATTGGCTGGGCACAGTGGCTCACACCTGTAATCCCAAAACTTTGTGGGGCTGAAGCGGGAGGATCACTTGAGCCCTGGAGTTCGAGACCAGCCGGGGCAATGAAGTGAGACCCCACCTCTACAAAAAAATTTAAAAATTAGCTGGGCAGGCCAGGCATGGTGGCTCACGCCTGTAATCCCAGCACTTTGGGAGACCGAGGTAGGTGGATCCTGAGGTAAGGAGTTCGAGACCAGCCTGGCCAACATGGTGAAACCCGTCTCTACTAAAAATACAAAAATTAGCCCGGCAAGGTCGTGAGTGCCTGTAATCCCAGCTACTTGGGAGGCCAAGTAATGAGAATCGCTTGAACCTGGGAGGTGGAGGTTGCAGTGAGCTGAGATTGTGCCATTGCACTCCTGCCTGGGCAACAAGAGCGAGACTTCATCTCAAAAATAAAAAAATAAAAATTAGCTGGGCATGGTGGTGCATGACTGTAGTCCCAACTACATGAGAGGCTCAGGTGGGAGGATTGCTTCAGCCCAGGAGGTCAAGGCTGCAGTGAGCTCTGATTGCACTGCTGCACTCCAGCCTAGGCAACAGAGCGAGATGCTATCTCAAAAAACAAAAAAACCACACACACGTAATGATGATCCGTCTGAGTGCGGAAATGGGGTTTTCTCCGGCTTCCCAGCATCATGTCTGTGGAGGGCCTCTGATGCTGACACATGGGTGGGGTAGGACTATGACCCAAACCTGGGGCAGGTTGGGGTGTCTGTATGTGCTGGGCCTGGGCCTGCACCAGCCCCGGACAGGCTTCTCAGGAGTGTCTGCTCACATCCACATTGACACCCACCCCTCGCCTCTCTGTCTCCTCACCCCAGAGCCTCTTAGTGGGTTCCAAGACCAAGTCCATCCCCTCTTACCTGCCTGAGCCCATGGGGAAGGTACAGGATGACGTCGTGGGAGCCCAGAGACGGCAGCAGCTTGCTGGATACCCACATGTGTTTGAGAACTTCATCTTGAAAGCTCCTGAAAATGCATTGAATGTTGTGACTGTCCCTCTGTGCTGGCTTGTCATTGTGGTCCCTGTGACTTGGTTCCCACCCACCCCACCGTTTTTGAAAGAATGTATTATTTTTTCTCATCGATCTTTTCACAGACTAACCCTCTCACTATGTTTTGTCTGTTTGTTTCTCCTCCCTCCTCCTCTCTCTGGTTCCCTTCTCCTTCTCATAGACTGACCCTTGGTTATCGTTGCAGAATTATGGCAGCGGCATGAGACCACCACCCAACTCCCTCGGCCCCGCCATGCCCGGGATTAACATGTAAGGCAAAAACGACCCGGCCAGTGACTCGGCCCATGTCTCCCCCCCTCTCTGCTGGCACCCTGGGAGACTCATGATAAGGGGTCATTGCTGGCACCTCTCTGGATCTCAGTCTCCTCCTCGGTAATATGAGGATATTGATGATCCTGGTGATGAGAGCTCAGCCTCATAGAGTGCCTCTGTGTGCCGGGCACAGTTCAGGCATGCTGCGTGCATCAGCTCGCCTCATCTTCATGATTACCCTATGCCGTGATTACTTTTATTTTTTTTTGAGACTGAGTCTCACTCTATTGCCGAGGCTGGAGTACAGTGGCACAGTCTTGGCCCACTGCAATCTCCCCTCCCGGGTTCAAGCGATTCTCCTGCCTCAGCCTCGTGAGGAGCTGGTAGTACAGGCTCCCGTCAACATGCCTGGCTAATTTTTGTATTTTTAGTTGAGACGGGGTTTCACCATGTTGGCCAGGGTGGTCTCGAACTCCTGACCTCAAATGGTCTGCCCGCCTCGGCCTCCCAAAGTGCTAGGTGTGAGCCACCGCGCCCAGCCTGACGCGGTCATTATTATACCCCCCTTACAGATGAGGTCACCAAGGCACAGAAAGGTGAAGTAACTTGCACAGGCTCACATACCTTTCAGTGGCAGGGTCAAGAGTTGAACCCCTGGACAGTTCAGCCACTGTTCTCTAGTGCATTTGTGATCTTTAACCCCGTTGTGAGAATGTGGATTCCCTTCCTAGGAAAATGCACATGGAGAGGGAATTTTACATATTTTATATCTAATTTTATATATTTTGTAAAGTTTACCTGTAATTTAAAGCAGTTCATAGATTTCCATCCATGAAGTTACCCATTACTGCCCTGAGCCAGAAGGCTCTAAACCCCAGGGCTGTAGGAAGGACTTCCTGTTGGTTATTTCAGCCCTTTCCTTCTGCCCCTGCTGCCTCTACCCCTTGGAGTTTACAGCACCTTTTTCATTGTTCACATCTCTTTCTCCCTCTCCCAGGGGCCCGGGAGCTGGCAGACCCTGGCCCAATCCTAACAGTGCTAACTCAGTGAGTACCTAGGTCAGGTGGGGTGGTGTTTGTCAGGGGAGGGGTTCTGGGTGCAGGGGAGCTACTGTCCCTAGGTGTAGGTGTCACGGGGAAGGGGAGATGCAGCGGGACTCTCCTGATGCTTCTAGGGAGAAGGCCGTGTGGAGATGGAGGCCTGGCAGTAATGTGCAGGGGTCATCAAGGGCTCCACCCCTGCGCTGAAGGAGTAAGCTAAGAACCTGGGCTCAGAGAGTACTGTTCAGAGTGGAGGCCCCTGCCTCCTCCCCAGCAGGGCTGGAAGGTGCGGGTAAGGGGCTCAGCACAGGCAGTGGAGTGAAGGCCAGAGGAATGTGGGGTAAAGCTGTTTACTGTCCTCTCAAACCGGAGGGCCTCCTATGTCTTCCCTGTGTCTGTGGCTCCCTCCCAGGACTGGGGAGTAAGAGACCAGGGTCTCAGGGTCAGTTCGATATAGCAGAGAGAACTGGGCTTCAGCCATGTCCCAGCCCTCCCAGGGGAACCAAGCAGGTGGCCAGCTCACTGGGTGGCGATGTCTTTCCTGTGAAGAGTGGGTCGTGTCCTCAGGGAGGTGTGGCAGCTGAGGGCACTCAGTGACTCTGACGCGGGGCTCCCTGACATCTTGTTTTTAGATTCCATACTCCTCCTCATCACCTGGTACCTATGTGGTAAGTGTGTGGGTTTAGGGCCTTGTGTTGTCTAGCCACGTGGGACTGAGTGTGCAAGAGAACTGCTCTGGGGTCCCCGTTTATTTCCCTTTCACACATTCTTCTGAGCAGAGGTTCTAACCTGCTAGAACTTGCTGTCAATATTCAGTCATCTGTACGGACCCGAGGTGGCCCAGAAATCCCCAAACCAGACCTGGGGGTGGAATTGCCTTCTGGGGAGCTGACCAGTGGGCTCCCCGGCGTCCACTGCCGGCCTCTCCAGGGGGCATGCCTGTGAGCACATAATGCAGTCACACACACCCACAGGGGCCTCTTGGTCTGAAGAAAGGTACGGGGGACATCCAAGTCCCCTTCTCAAGCTTAAGTACTTTGTCCCTGAGTGAGCGCTGGGGGTGTAGCAAGATGAACAGCGGCTGGGCCCGGGGTGAGCAGTTGCTGCTGACCAGGGAGGGAGGATGCTGGCCCCTCCCCACGTTCGTCACCACTATGGGCGTCTGATGTCAGTTTTTCTCATCTTCAGGGACCCCCTGGTGGTGGCGGCCCTCCAGGAACACCCATTATGCCCAGTCCCGCAGGTAAGAGGGCTTGAGGGGAAAGCGGAGGGTCTGGTGGTGGGGGCGGGGCATGTTGCCAGAGAGTCCTGGAGGGAGGGCACTGTTGCAGAGCCAAAGCTTACCAGCCACTCCTTCCTGAGCAGCACATCTTCCACTGGGCATTTAGGGGGCAGGAGTCCCTTGATGACGCTAACCTAGTCCTCTTCTCTGATGCTGCTGCATAAAGGACAGGGCTGAGCAGAGCAGTCCAGGAACGGGTTCTCATTGTCCTTGAACCCCTCTTGTTGGGAAGAACCCTGTTCGGGGTGGGCATTTCCCCAGATGACTCAAAAAGGGGCTTTGGAGTTCTGACATCCTGGGACCAGGATTCTGAGGCATGCTACCTTTCGAGTTTCCATAGCTCCTGGCTTCTGGTCCTCTATATAGGAGATCCCTTCTCCCCTTTTTGCTTTTTTGAGGCGGAGTCTTGCTCTGTCACCCAGGCTGGAGTGCAATGGCATAATCTCGGCTCACTGCAACCTCCACCTCCCGGGCTCAAGCAATTCTCCTATCTCAGCCTCCCGAGTAGCTGGGATTACAGACATGCACCACCATGCCCAGCTAATTTTTGTATTTTTAGTAGAGATGGGGTTTCACCATGTTACCCAGACTGGCCTTGAACTCCTGACCTCAGGTGATCCACCCGCCTCAGCCTCCCAAAGTCCTGGGATTACAGGCGTGAGCCACCGCACCCGGTCCTCCCTGTTTCTTTAAACAAAAGAGGGCATGCGTGCACACACGTGGGCATGTGCGCACACACATACGCGCGCACGCACACACACACACACACACACACACAGCATCACAGTTATGTTTCTTTCCCAGCTAAGAATAGCGTACCAGCCAGCTAGAAGGAATTCAACATACGATCCTTACCCACCCCAAAAATAAAAAGTGAGAGGTAGCTGGATTTCTGCCCAAGAATTACGGTGCCTGCTCCTGATAGAAACGTTTTAGCTGGAGACTTTTTTGGCTAATTGGGGAAATGGAGGGGACTCTCCCCCGCCCCCTCCCCTCCTCGGCTCCCCATAGCAGGGAAGCTGCTCAGCTGCAGGGGTGGAGCTGGCCGCAGCCGGGATCCTGGGCTCCCGCTCCGGCTGTCTCTTTCTGCTGCTGCATTTTGATGAGCTGCATGACCTACATTCCGACTGGGCCACATGCACCCACTCCATATGTGAATGCGTCTCCAGCCCCATCCCTGCCTCTCCCTCCTGCCCCATCAGCCTGGCAGGGTGGCCTCTGGGTAATTTGCCACATTTCCCTTTCCCTGATTTGATTAAAACCACTTTGTAGGGGGGTGGGGGGAGAGCACAGGTCGTGGTTCTGCTGCCCCCATGTTGTCCCAGGCAGTGTCTGGGGACCAGATTTGGTGTAGGGTGGGGAGACAAGAGTTTGAACCTGTAATCCTCCTGTGCCGTGTCCACACTGCTGGGGTTGAGTGGTTTTCACAGTTGAATTTTCTGTGATTAAAAACTTTGTGAATCTTCATTAAATACAAATTAGCCAGAAAATGGTGGTACTTAGAGGAAATTTTAGGTGATAAAATACAAAGGAATGAGTTCAAGTGCCATGAGTTTGTTTTAATTAAGAAACGAATTAATCACCCCGACTTGTGGGTTTCCACTGTTCTACAGATTCAACAAATTCCAGTGACAACATCTACACAATGATTAATCCGGTGCCGCCTGGAGGCAGCCGGTCCAACGTAAGTCTGCTTTCTAATAATTTACATATCAGACACCATAACAAATCATAATTAACTTCATCAGCTGAGGGGAAAGCAAGTTTAATTGATTTCAGCCATTTGTTACCAAAGATGAATAAAATAAACCGTCAGAAAAGTGATTAACTCTTGGGCAACTCAGTTCCCATTTCATAGGCAGCAGGGGATGGGAGAGGAAGGGGTGGGACGATACCCACCTTCTGGTTAGAGCCAGGGCGCGGGCTGTGCTGCTGGGACTTGCCACCTCCTGCCGTGCCGGTGGGGGAAGGGCCAGGCTGCAGGTGGGGTCTGGCCTGGTCTCTGCCCAGCTGAGTGGCTATGCTGGCCTGGGCAATCCTCCTCCTCCTGGGCCTGTTCCTGGGGCTGCGGAGCTGAGGGTGGAGCCAGCAGCAAAGGGACACGGCTCGCTGGGGGACCTGCCTGCCTGTGCTGCTGCCAGGAGCTCTGGAACTCCAATACCTGGCAGCTTCTTTGCGTCAGAGTTGCAGCCCTTGGGTGATGTTGCAGCTCACATTTCCCCATTTCTGATTCCTTCTTGCCCCACTTCCTCTTGTGTCTCCTGCACCCACTGGGTGGGACTTGGTTAGTCAGCTGCAGCCTGTCTCCTCACCCAGCAGGAGTTCCCTGAGGACAGGGCCTGATCTGCTTCCCCTCCACAGGCAACCCTTCCATTCCAATTCCTTCCCTTCCTCCTCCATGCAGGCCTCAGGTGAACCTGTTCAGCCTTGTCCCTCCAGGAGCTCAGGGTCTGGAAAGAAGGTCTATGGACTATAGAGCCAGAGAGTGGGCCTGGGGCCTCAAATTGCAAGGCTTTGGCCTGGTTGAGGGGGTGGGGACTTTTGGGGCACTCTGGTTTTGTTGGCTCTGTTCCTGAGGTGACACCCGGATCACCCCACGTGTTAAACCTCAAACGTGGGCTGCCCCGTGCTGGATATTGCCTACATTTTCTCTCCCAGCAGCCCTCTGAGGGAGGGTCTCTGGCCTGCCTCCTTCGTCAGGGTCCTCACTGGTGTGACCAAGCATCTGGCTTTTAACACTAAAAGCCATACATCCTGAGGAATCCCAGGACACAAAAAGTCATGGGTTTTGTCAGTGATGCAGAAGGTTGGGTGGAAAGTATAAAACCCACACAGAGGGATGACAACACTGTTTGTAGCATCGGATGGAAATGGCGTAGACGATCTGCCTCGAGTGGTCACTGTCGCCATGTTTCCTGACGTGGATGCTGGCATCAGGACTTGTGATTCACCATGGATCACATCACTCAGGCTGCAACTCCATGCACTGCAGTCATGCACGTTGGCAGCACCCGCCTAGGAGTCTGCTGCAGATTCAGTGTTGGGCTTTTTGTCTAGACGGTGCTGGTTTCAGTCTTGACATCGTGAATGTTGTGACCGTATTTCCTAAGAGTTCAGATGATGAAAATGAGAACGGTGACAATGCCAGCACCAGCGTGACCCAGACATCACTGGGAAATAAGTTTAAATGACCATGTGACTTTAATGACAGATGCAAGGACACAACTGGATTAGGGAGGAAAGAATCCAAACAGAATGTACTGTGTGGTGTGCAGAAAAGAATGTGGGATTGGGCTTGTGGAGAAGGGGAGGTGGAGGCGCATTGGACATTGAGTCTCAAGTCTGAGGCTTATCTTTCTAAATCAAGATTTTTTTGACCTCCAAAGAGACAGCAGTTCTCAGTCAAAATCAGCGGTTGCGGAATTAGCTTGGGCATGCTCCTTGAATGGGCACCATTATCATCTTGTTCCCTTGATTGCACCACAAACCAAGGTTACATTTCCTGATTTGGAGGCTACAAACTAAAAGTCCTGTGTGTGAACCAAAGGGAAGAGGGACTTTCGGTAACAGATGCATTGCCTCTTTACAGTAGTGCTGACCCTGTCTGATCCTTCCAACAGTCATGCTTCCGAGAGCATTAAAGGTGTGCCTCGAGTCACGGCAACAGGTTTCCACTAGCACTTAGGTATGTTGATTTGAAAACTGGAGTTTCAAATCATCTCGATTTCTGTGAAGATCTTAGTGAAGCCACTGAAGACGTAAGAGATTGTTGTTCTCTTGTCCAAATACAACCTAGACTTTGCTCATTTATCTACATATTTGGCAGACAGTACACAGTTAATTTGAGCAAATTTCATTTAGTCCATAAGCTTCTTACCAATGAAAATGAAAACATCTTACCTGCTAAATGTTCACACCTTGTGCCCAACGCTGTCACAAAGGGGTGTAATTTGCTTACCTGTGATACCAGCTTTCATAATGAAAGTTTTGGGTCACTTTTCAATTTCCTCAAAACATGCTGAAGCACTTAATGAGATCTTTGACTTTACAGACAGGAGAATGCCTCAGACATTTCCACAAGATGACTATCATTGCTGGCCATAGAAAAGATGTTAAAATGTTGGCTTGCCGTGGAAACTGCTATTTTTTAAAGTGCGAGACAAGAAGGATGTCCTTCTCTAATTTGGAAATGCATTGAGATGAGAATGGAAAAAGGAATTACAATAAAATAGAGGCCAGGCACGGTGGCTCATGCCTGTAATCTGAATACTTTGGGAGGCCAAGGTGGGAGGATCACTTAAAACCATGAATTCAAGACCAACGTGGATAACAAAGCGACACATCCTCACCATCTCGGCAACAAAAAAATAAAAATAAAAAATAAATATATAGGCTGGGTACGGTGGCTCACACCTGTAATCCCAGGACTTTAGGAGGCCGAGGTGATCAGATCACTTGGGGTTCGTCAGGAGTTCAAGACCAGCCTGGCCAACATATTAACACCATGTCTACTAAAAATACAAAAATTAGCTGGGTGTGGTAGTGCATGTCTGTAGTACTAGCCACTCGGGAGGCTGAGGCAGGAGAATCGCTTGAGCCCGGGAGGTGGAGGTTGCAGTGAGCCAAGATCACACCACTGCACTCCAGCCTGGGTGACAGAGTGAGACTCAGTTTCAAAAAGAAAAAACATAAATACATAAAAAATAAAATAGAAATGTATATACTAGTTTCGCCAGTACTGTCTGATGCTCCTTGAGAAGCCCCAAGGAGCCTAGATAGGGCTAGCCAGCCACACTTGGATCGTTGGGTATCATGGGGAGGGGGCCACAAAAACTCATGCAGCAGAAATAATGACCCATTTAATGCTTGAGAACTCAAAAAATGTCACCAGAAAAGGCAGTCAAGTTAAACAGGACTTTCTCAATTTCTTCATTAAGACTGTAACATATTTGGAATCCAGCTTGGGTTTTGCAACTTCAGATTACCTCTGTGCTTTAAAATCAGTTTTTATAATTTAATTTAGAACATCATCTAGTGTGCTTTGGAGTGTTAAAAAATGATGATTATCTGGCCAGGCATGGTGGCTCACGCCTGTAATCCCAGCACTTTGGGAGACCGAGGTGAGAGGATCACTTGAGGTCAGGAGTTCCAGCTTGACCAACATGGTGTAACCCCGTCTCTACTAAAAATATGAAAATTAGCCAGGCATGGTAGCTGGTGCCTGTAATCCCAGCTACTCGGGAGGCTGAGGCAGGAGAATCGCTTGAACCCGGGAGGTGGAGGTTGCAGTGAGCTGAGATTGCAACGCTGCACTCCAGCCTGGGTGACAGAGTGGGACTCCATCTTGGGGGGGAAAAAAAAAATTAGCAGGCATGGTGGCACACACCTGTAGTCCCAGCTACTCAGGAGGCTGAGTCAGGAGAATCGCTTGAACCTGGGAGGTGGAGGTTGTAGTGAGCAGAGATTGTGCCATTGCACTCCAGCCTGGGCAGCAGAGCGAGACTCTGTCTCAAAAAAAAAAAAAAAAAAAAAAAAAACAAGGTGGGTATCTTAGACAGGGATAGCCCATCTGATGAATTACAGATGTAAAGGCCTGATTGACAAGCAGCTGGTCCACCAAAGCCAGCCCCTGGACAAAAATGGATGGGCATCTTTGGAGAGCTGGACGTGAATTCCTACAAGTCCCAAAACCTGTGCTTATAAGTAAAACCCAAAGTACTTTGTGTGCAAGGGTTGTGTGGAGAGGATATTTAGTTTGGTGTTATCGTGTTAGGTTGACACCAGGAGTCAGTGTAACATGGGCTTTGAATAAACAGAGTGACAAGTCAAATGGGTTTTAAGTTTGACTTTATTCAGTTTTACCAGTGCATTTAAAAGAAAGATGTTCTAAGCTGGGTGCAGTGGTGTATGCCTGTAGTCAGCTACGTGGGAGGCTGAAGCAAGAGGATTGTTTGAGCCTAGGAATTTAAGGCTGCAGTGAGCCATGATCATGCCACTGCACTCCAGCCTGGATGACAGAGCCAGACTCCATCTTTTTTTTTTTTTTTTTTTAAAAAGATGTCCTAAAGGCTATAAAGGCTTTAGGCAATTCAGAGACCAATGGGAAAGGAAGCAGAGCAGAATATTCTAATATATCCTGGGGCAGAAAGAAACATTTTTTTATTTAAATATTAGTAATGTTCGTTTCATTAATCCTATTGTGTTTATGTTTGTTTGTTTATTTAGAGATAGGGTCTCTGTCACAGTCATGACTCACTGCAGCTTCAGCATCTGGGGCTCAAGGGATCCCTCCCACCACAGCCTCCTGAGTAGCTGGGACTACAGGCACGTGCCACCACACCCAGCTAATTTTATTTGTTGTTGTAGAGATGAAGTCTCACTATGTTGCCCCTAATTTGTTGTTGTAGAGATGACGTCTCACTATGTTGCCCAGGATGTTCTTGAACTGCTGGGCTCAAGAGATCCTCCTGCCTCAGCCTCCCAAAGGGATTACAGGTGTGAGCCACCACGCTTGGCTTATGTTTTATTTTTTAAAAACATAAATAATAAGCCAGGTGCAGTGGCTCGAGCCTGTAGTCCCAGCTACTCAGGAGGCTGAGGCAGTGGATGGATCACTTGAGCGTACTCTAGCTTGGGTGACAGAGCAAGTCCTCATCTCTAAGAAATAAAATAATTAATGTAACATAGCCTGTCAAATTTAAGTATTCCAATAAAAAGTTATTTCTATCAGAGGACAGAAACGTTACAAAAATATTAATATTTTTTTCTCATACATATCAATCATTTAATTAGTCCACCTTCTAATTGCTACTAATTGCTGCTGTTAACTAGTTCCTATTGTTGTTTACATAATAGCATTAATATAACGGAAAAGTAGATAATACAGAATAAATGATACTGAGACAACTGAATATCCACATGCGGACAAATGAGATTGAACTGTGTCTTTACAGCAGCACACAAAAGTTAAAGTAGATTATAGGGGGCCGGGCACGGTGGCTCACACCTATAATCCTAGCACTTTGGGAGGCTGAAACAGGTGGATCATTTGAGGTCAGGAGCTCGAGACCAGCTTGGCCAACGTGGGAAACCCCGTCTCTACTAAAAATACAAAATTAGCCGGGTATGGTGGCGTGTGCCTGTAGTCCCAGCTACTCGGGAGGCTGACGCATGAGAATTGCTTGAACCCAGGAGGCGGAGGTTGCAGTGAGCCAAGATCACGCCACTGCACTCCAGCCTGGCTGACAGAGTGAGACCCCATCTCAAAAATAAATTAAAAAATAATAAAAAATAAAAGTAGACCATAGATCTCAATGTTAGAGCTAAAACTCCAAAACACTTGAAGTAAACACAGGAGTAAATCTTCATGACCTGAGTTAAGCGAAGCCTTCTTAGACGCAAGCCCAAAAGCACAAGTAGCAAAAGAAAAAAGTAGACAAACTGGACTTCATAGGAGATGAAGATTTGTGCTTCAGAGGTGTCAAGGAAGTAAAAAGACAAACCACAGAATGGAGAAAATATTGGCAAATCAGGTATCTGATAAGGGACTTGAATTCAAAATACGTAACTCTGAGAAAAACTCAGTAACAACCTAATTTAAAAATGGACACGGATATAAATGAACATTTCTCCAAAAATTACAAATAGCTAGTAAGTACATGAGAGGATGCTCAGCATCGTTAGTCATTAGGAAATGCAAATCAAAACCACAGTGAGATAGCACTTCACACCCACTAGGACGACTGTAGTAAAAAAGACAGATAATGACGGGTGTTGGCGAGGGCGTGGAAGCAGTGGAACTCTCAGAGCTGCTGGTGGGAATGTAAAATGGCATAGCTGCTTTGTTAAACAGCTTCACGTTTCCTTGAAAGATCAGACAGCCTAGTGATGTCCACTGTGATATGAGAATTGGGTTACCCTATGACCCAGCAGTTCTCCTAGGGATCTGCCCAAGAGAAATGAAAACGTATGTCCACACGGCAGCTGGTACATCAGTGTCATTAGTGTCAGAATAGCCAAACAGTGAAAACAACCTGAACGTTCCCTCCGCTGATGAATGGATCAATGAAATGTGGTACATCCATACGATGGACTACTTTTTGTTCATAGGAAAGAATCAAGTACTGATTCATGTGACAACACTGATGAACCTTGAAAACATGCTAAGTGAAAGAAACCAGCTACAAAAGCTGACATGATTCTGTGTATATGACATGTCCAGGATAGGCAAATCCGTGGAGACGGAAAGTAGATTAGTGTTTGCCTGGGGCCGGGGATTGGAGGGGGATGGAAATGACTGCAGTCGGGTACAGGATTTCTTTCTGAGGTTATGGAAACGTTCAAAATTGGTTGTGGTGATGGTTGCACAACCCTGTAAATATACTGAAAACCACTGAATTTTACACTTTACATGGATCAGTTGTATGCCATGTGAATTATATCTCAATAAAACTGTTAAGATAATACACAGAAAGTATACAATAATATGTCATTTTGAAGAACTACCAGTTTCTTAATACATTGATGTTAATGACATATTCATGTTATGGTAATGACATATATGTGCATAATTCTGTATTATCATGTTTGGGGATTTTTGGGGTCTGGCATGGCTGTGTCCTGGGTTGACTCCCTAGAAAGCTGGTTACTTTCATCCTCCCATCACTTGGGTTAATAAGCATGAAATTTGTTGCTAGATGGCAAAATGTTCCCAAAAGCCTGTGAGCTGCTTTGGTGGGGGGTCCACTGGAGAGGGAAGGATGCGCCGCCCTTCCCCCAGTCTGGGTAGGCACAGGGAAGCAGCTCATACCCTAGCTGTGCCTCTGCAGCCTGGTCACAGCCTTACCCCTTGCACCCCTGCTCATGTGGGACCCCTGCCTAGAGTGACTTCCGTGATGGGCTCTGCCTGCCCAGATTTTACCCCTCAGTTTTGTCGATGCTCTCCTCCTCCTCCAGGCAGCCAGTTCTGATTTCTCTGCCTTGCTCTGAAGCCGCGGCTGTACTTTGCAGCTGTCTTTGGAAGTCAGCATCTCTGTCCTCCTGTGGGGCAGTTGGGTATCCATGAGCTGCTCCTCTGGGCTGGGGCTCAGGTGTGACTCAGCTCTGCGTCTGCGGTGCCCAATCCCGGCCAGGTGCCAAAACAGCCCTCCATTCCACCACCTCCACTCCCTTCCCACTAGATGCAGATCCAGTCTGCATCACAGGGCCCTGGCGCTCCAGGCTGGGCTCAGCCACCCCTCCCCAGCCCTGTGACTCGTGGCTGTGGGATGTGACCTTTCTGGCCTTCCTTTCCGAGATGGGTTTGATAGTTCCAGATAGGCCTGCGGGTGGGTAGAATCGACTCGTATCTCTGAGTCCCCATCTGCCACACCATCAGTTCTACATGGGAGCCTCATTAGTGACCTCCCGCCACCACCCCACAGTCCCAGGATGCCATGCAGTCCCTCCTAGGCCAGTGCCCTAGCTCCCTCTTCCCCCCAACTCATCAAACTCCACCTCTTCTTACCGCCCAGCCCTAGGAAACATTCATTTCTAACTTCTTCCTTTTGTTAGCTTGGAGAGGGCCAGCACGATGGCTTCAGGCCTGCTGCCAGGTTCCAGTCCCAGCTCCTCCACTTCCAGCCTCTGGGACCTCAAGCAAAGTGTTTGCTCTCAGTGCTTGTTTCCTCACCCGTGAAGTGGGGATGGGAAGCACTGGTGTTTTGTTCCCTGGCCTGACACGGTCGGAGAGCTGTCCACATGTATCTCTCTTTGGGGAACCACACCCTCCACACGGGGGATGGAGGGGGCCCTGTGGTGGGATCTGAGAGGCTCAGATTGAAAGCTGCCTCTGCGTGGAGCTGGGTGGCAGCGGGCCAGTGCCTCTCCCTCACTTGGGTCATTGGAATGAGTACCTCTGCCTTGCAGCTCGGAGGGCTGAGGTGAGGAGCCTGGCCCAGCTGCCAGGCAGGACATGTCTGAGTGTGAGCAGAGCCTGCTGGAGCAGGGGTTCCTCAGGGCCAGGACTCTGGCATGGCTGTAGCTCCCTGCTTGTGAGGGGTGCAGAGGGCCTGGGCCCGCTGAGCTGCCATGCCCTGTGCTTCTTCCCCAGTTCCCGATGGGTCCCGGCTCGGACGGTCCGATGGGCGGCATGGGCGGCATGGAGCCACACCACATGAATGGATCGTTAGGTGAGTGGCCCCTGCCCTCACCATGCCCCACCCTGCCGGGGCAACCAGCTGTGTGCCTCAGCTCCTGGCTCAGCTGGGCTTGGTACACAGCCCTGGCCTGCCTTGGCTGGGCACACAGGAAGATCCTGAGAGGGATGCCACACAAAGTCCTCCGCACAGTGTGGGACTGGGATGGAAGGGCTTAGAGGCCCGAGGAGCCCAGGGATGAGGGGGGACCCCTCTGTGGAAGAGCAAGCAAGAAACTGAATTGGATTATTTTTTCTTTCCAGGGTCAGGCGACATAGACGGACTTCCAAAAGTGAGTGTGCACTCGGTCTCCCTGGTGGCGCCCCATCTGTGTGGGCAGGTTGTTGGGGACACAGGCGCTCACCTCCTCTCCTCTTTCTACAGAATTCTCCTAACAACATAAGTGGCATTAGCAATCCTCCAGGCACCCCTCGAGATGACGGCGAGCTAGGAGGGAACTTCCTCCACTCCTTTCAGAACGACAATGTAAGCCTCGCCCCCTGCCCGCTGCTCTTGTCCCCACGGCCTGGACTCTTACCTAACAAGTTGCGAGCTACAGAGCCGGGCCGCAGCCTGCCAGCTGAGCTGGTGACCATGTTACGGGCTTTCCACCTCAGTTATTTTTTTAGCAGAAGTGTGCAGCCTTGACGCTGCCCCGAGACTGCCTGCTGGTGGGGCCTTCTGGAGGCAGCTCGGTGCAGGCTGGATGCCTCTGGCACTAATTAAGCTGATGTGGCCGGGAGAGCCCTGGGCTGAGGGAGTTGGAGCAGTATTGCCCCACAGGTCCATTTCCATCTGTCCAGTGGGAAAAGGTTCATGCAGCCCGTGATTTTCAGGGCTCTCAACACAGAGCGGGGTTGGCTGTCTGCTTTTCTGTAGTGGGCTTCTGTGTGCATTCTCATTTGAAGAAACAGTGTTATGATTAAGCAGTTTTCAAGAACCCCAGACTGCCAACCCAGGCAACACGGCGAAACCTCATCTCTACGCAAAAATACAAAAATTAGCCGGGTGTAGTGTCGCATGCCTGTAGTCCCAGCTACTTAGGCTAAGGCGGGAGAATTGCTTGAGCCCAGGAGGTTGAGGCTGCTGTGAGCCTTGATCGCACCACTGCCTGAGTGACAGAGTGAGACCCTGTCTCAAAAACAAAAACAGAAAGAATCCCAGACTGGCCCCACCCCAGGGCACCCTGGCTGTGCTCTGGCTCGTCAAAGCCCAGTTCCCTGCAGTCTGGAGGCCTGCACTGGGCAAGGGGCAGGGGCTGTGACTGCCTTTGGAGAGAAGAGGTTGACTCAGACAAGGGCAGGAGCAGGGGAGGCACCGTCAGCTGCCATAGTTCCCAACAGAAGGTCAGGCTGGCACTGAGAAGTGGCTCTTAGCTCCCACCTCCTGACCCTTACCCTGCCTTGCCGGCCCCCTGCGCACTTCATGCCATCATGCACCCTTCAGCCCAACCACAGCCCCAAATGAGCCCTGCTCAGTTCTGTGCAGTCAAACCAGGCTCTTGGCACCTCGGTGTGTCAGCGGCCTCCCCACAATCCTCACCCCCTCCTTCTCTGCTTCTCCCTTCCAGTATTCTCCAAGCATGACGATGAGTGTGTGATCCCCCCTTCTCCGAGACGCTGAGAGAGCGGGCATTGCAGGCGGGAAGATGCCAGAAATTATGCAAGAAGTGAGGTGTCATTATCCAGGAGCTGGTGGGGAGGGCATCTCCCTGCTCCCCTCAACCCCCTCCCACCCCATCCACGCCCCCCACCTTTCCCAATTTTAGTTTCATGCAATAAAAAGGCCGAACTTTTTATTCCATAAAACATGAAGGACAAAACTCAAAAATGTATTTCAAGTCAGTGACCAGAAAAATCGCACCCCTTGCCCTTTCCCCAAAGGACCTTTTCCGTACACGACACTTTTTTGTTTTTTGTTTGGGGTTTTACCGTTGGGATTTTTTTATTTGTTTTCAGGGGGGGTTTTTTGGGGAAAATTTTTTTAAATGGAAGCTTCTAGCAAGCCCCCCACCCCAATCAACCTCTATGCTTTCTTCTTAAAAAAAAAAAAAAAAAAAAAAAAAAAGGAAAACCAGAAGCCCTGCTGTCTGTCTGTCCCCAAGCCCTTCCACCAGAAAAGCTAGTCTAGGTGTGAGAGCCCACATTGTCTGTAGCCATCAAAAATAATAATAATAAACTGGACAGTTTACAATCGGTGGTTTCTTTCAAAAGGCCTTTTTTGGAAAGAAGAAAAGGCAGTCACCGTTTTCCACTTGGGGTTTTGGTTTGTGCAACAGGCAGGGGAGGAGCGGGAACGCGTTTGTTCTAGCTTGATTTCTACGGCAACGGCAGCGGCACGCTTGGACCTCAGAACCCAGCACCCTCATCCTGTGGCCAGAGGGGCCGGACCACCGGCCCCTTTCAGGATTCCACCACAGCCCAGCCCGTCGCCGTGACCCGGTGGCATGCACTGTTCCCAGGATGCCTTCCTCCTCCTCTCCTGGACCTCCCAGCCCCTCCTCCGCCCCCACCCCAGTCTTCCCAGTGAGAATCCTGCCAGCTGGGTGGTGGCCTGACGCAGAGTAGGAGAGGCTGCCACTGACAGGATGGCTATGACCTGGGACATGGAAACAGTGACCTCCACGTTCTGGTCCCGAGATCCTCGCATCAGCGTCATCATGTGCACCGGCTGGGGGGCTCGAGTTCCGGTTCTCTTTTTCTCTTTATTCGTCCTTTCTCAAAGATGGGATACTGACCAGAATTGCTCTGTATATGCTTGGGACTGGATGGAAAGACTTTGGAGCAGCTGTGGGGGGTGGGGGGACACCGACAACCAAACAGACGTGCTGTCTCCGGTCCTGTTTTTATTTTCAAAAACCAACAAGCCCGACGGTGGAGCCTGTCCCCTCCCGGGAGGGTGCTCATGGCCCCGCTCACCTCATCACCCCACAGAAACCTTTGTGTCTTGCCCTGGAAGACACCCGAATTCTTTGTACATTGACATGCCCTTCTCCTTCCTCCCTCCCCTGTAGCTGGTCTTTGTTTTACTCCCTCCCTTTCTGATCCATGTATATCATATTATGTGAGATATCATCTGCCTGAAAAAAGACTTTGTGCGGATTATTGGGAACATTGTAGCTGTTTCTGTGTTTTTTCTTACCTTGTAGTCTGGTTCTGAATTAAGAGAGGAAAAAAAAAGTAATTATGATACATTGTAGTTTGTGTACGATATATGTTGATAACGTTTTATTAAAGGGACATCTTTTTTCCGCAGCCCTTCCTGACATGTTTGGGGAACGTGGGTTGGAGTTTATGACACTGATTACAAAATGCAAGGTGACTTGTTGGGCACAGTTTTTGTTCCTGGTGCATAACAAGATGTTTTGTGTTTGAGGCGTCTGCCTTCTTTTCCTGGGCCTGTGAGTTCTGTGTTCTTGTGGAGTCGCGATGGCCTCGGCGGAAGGTGGGTTGGGAGGGAGGGAGGTATCCGTCTTACCTTAAATATTTGGGGGCCTTCTAAAAGCCATTTACCATTTCTTGTCTTGCAAACACATTTTGGTTTGCTGGAATGTTGTTTATTTTTCTGGAAGTAGGAAAAGGTTCCTGGTGCCCTCTGTTGTCTATGAGGAGTCGCTATCAGCCAGGAGAACCACAGCCACTCCCTGCTTTCTCCCCTCAGGTGGGACTGGCCTCACCCCAGGCCCCCAACCTCAAGTGCCTGCTGTTTGCGACTGGGAGGCACAGGGAGGTTGATACATACATATATATTTTTTCCTAAGGCTCCAAGGCACTGGGAGCCCTTGAAGGGTTTTGAGAGTAGTGCAGTCTACTTAGTAAATTTTGGAAAGTGTATGCTGGTGGCATCCTGGGAGATGAATCAGGTGGGGCTGGCAGGATATGGAGAGAGCCATTCCCAGATGACATTTAGCCAAGAAATGCTGAGGGCTAGGGTGAGGTAAGCCGCTATGGATGCTGACTTGCACGACTAGAAAGAACTTTCTTCTTCCCTGGAGCTCTGGGGACCTCATTCTAGGTTTGCAGCAGGAGTAGATGCCGGGGTGGGTGGGAGACAGAGGGTCCAAGCAAAGGGTAGGCTTAGCCCATGTTTATAAGGCCCTTAGGGGACCCTATAGCAAATTCCCGGGTTTAAATCTTGCCTTTGCTGCAACTTGCTGTGTGGCCGTGGGCAAATTAGTTGATATTTCTGTTCTCAGTTCTCTCATCTGCAAAATGGGGGCTGACGGGCTGGCTGCCTCATGGGCTGTGAGGAGGTTAGCACCGTGAAGTGCTCAGAACAGTGCCGTGCACGGACTAAGAGCAGCATGTGTTCGCTGCAAGTGATGTTACTCATATGTGGGGAAAGTCCAAATGGGTGTGTTGGGGAGTAGCTGGGAGGATCTAGAAGATTCCATCTGGTCCTTCCCTCTTCACCTTGGAACAAGGTTTCCTGGGCTTTTGCTCAGCATGGACACCTTTGAACTATTGGAAAAGCATCTCCATTGGAGAGATGAAGAGACTGAGGCTGTGACTAACCTGTATCAATGGTGCTGACCCAGGGCTGGGGAAAGGAGGTTGGGAGGATGGGATATTCATCTAATACCTGTGCTCCTTGGAGCAGGAGTCAGGCACAGACAAGAGCCATGGGATTGGGGTGCCTAGCTGGAGGAAGGCAGGTCACGGGGCCCAGCCTGGGGGGAGCGCCTACTGTGTGCTGTGCTACCCCTCAGCCTGGGGCCCCTCAGCAGCCCTGCAGTTGTCTTCATAACACAAATGGCCAGGGTGCAGGTTAGTTTGGCCTTCCTCAGGGGCAGATCTCTAAGCAAAGAACTGGTTCTTGTTCACTAAGCATTTTCATCACTGCCTGGGGCCAGACCAGAGCTCTACATGAGCCAGTGGAAAGATACTGAAATGAGCAGGAGAAAAGGAAGCGTCATGCCAGTTCTTTCACAAAAAAGGGCTTCAGGCCATCACTGAGAGGTGCCGGAGTCGGGGGCCGGACCACAGCTTTCCTGCTGGAGTCATCGCTGTCCGCAGGCACTCGATTCTAGGGGTTGGCCAGCCTAGGGGGCCAGAGCTAGGACCAGGCCTGAGACAGCGGACCCCTCACCTGCCTCCCTGCTGGGCATCCCCACTGCCCCCTACCCCAGAGCCAGGAAAGAAGAAACTTAAGGCAAGTCACTGACAGCAGCAGCAGCAGCACAGCCACTAAGGCGCTAGGCCAGAGCAGGGCTCCAGCTGGGGGTAAGGCTGCTCAGGCTGGCTCCCTAGTGACCTGAGAAATCCCCTGCCCCAGTCTCTGCTGTCCCATGAAGTGGTGCACCAGCTGTGTTCCCAAATTCCACAGACTCCAGGTGACTGAGCCCAGAACATGCCGGGGGTGCTCCAGAGGGCTCTGGCCCTGAACTGAGGGGAGCTGGGCCTCTTGGAGTTAAGGCCATGGGGCTCCCCTGGACTTGGGCAGAGTGGCTGGGCAGGGTGGGGTTACAGGCAGATGAGCCTTGCTCTGCCCAGCCCTAGGCTCACTGGGTATAAGCACTGGGGGCTTGGAGTTGGGGCTGGGGTTTGGAAATAAAAGACCAACGAGGGTGGGTGCTGGAAGACAGAGGTTCTGTTCTATCCTCCTCTCTATTCCCAGGGCGCCTGCGGAGCCACAGAACCTGGCATCTGGTTTCTGGAATTCAGCCATGCCCTTGATTTCCTGCCTCCATGTCAGCCCTCCAATGCCACAAAGACCATCTCACTTTTGAGCCTCCGTAGACTTCTTTCCATCCATCCACTCATGTGTTTGCTGAGCACCCCTTTTATGCCAGGGGTGGTTCTGCACTAGGGATACAGTAGTGAACAGATACAGAAGGACGGAGATGCCGTTTGTGGAGGTGGGGCAGGCTGCAGGAAGAGCTCTGTTCTGGTGAGTTAAATTTGAGATGCTGATTTGATATCCAGTAAAGACATCAAGTAGGCATATGAACTAGAGGCATACCGTGGGAGTTGTTGCCATTTAGAGGGTCTTTAAAGTCATAAGACTGGCTGAAATCATCTAGGGAATGAATGGAGAAGAGGCTGAAGGACTGGGCCCTGAGATCTGGGGAATAGGAGCGACCCACAAAGGCGGCAGAGCAGTGAGAAGAAGACCAGGAGAGCGAGAAGAGCGAGATGCCCTGGTGACCATGAGAAGAAAAGGGGTGCAGAGACGAGAGGGCTTCTTGCTAGTGGGGAACCCAGGTGGCTACGCCCACTGTGACTCTGGGACCAGGTCCACGCTCCTCACAGCTTCCAGGCAGCTGCAGGGCATGGAAGGGCCATGCGCACTCCTGTTTTTCCTTGTCCCTCAGCACTTCACCTCCAACTTTGCGGTACTCTGCAGATGTCTGCCCAGCCAGGGCCTTTGTTCCTGCCAGCCCCTCCTCGTTCCCACTTGCCCTTTGGAACCTAGCTCAGATGGCCCCTCCTCCTGGAAGCCTTCTGGGCCGGGATAGCGCTCTCCCTGGGTCCCCACAGCCTGGTTCAGTGTATGCCTCCCCCATCAGGCTGGGAGATCCTCTAAGCCAGGGACCATGTACAAGCCCTCTTTGTCCCCAGAATTGCCAGCACAGGTCCTGGTGCCCAGTAGGTACATGATGAGTGCTCTTGGAATAACTGGATGTTGTTGAGTAGTCGCCCCAGAATGTGCTCAGTGGCACCCCTCCCTATGGTATGCTGTCACCTGTGGGTGGGTAGGTGCCCAGGTGTGGGGAAGGAGGTGGCCTTTGTGGGTACCTGCTACTGCCAATCCAAAGGAGACTACTCTGGCCGTCTCCACCCAGTACCCCGGGAGCTCCCAGAGGGCGGGGACCACATCTCCCTCATTCTGTAACTGTCGCTCCCAGCACAACACCTGGCACACAGTAGGTGCTTATTCAATGGGCTGCCCCTAGAGGAGGTCTATGGTGAGGGACCTCAGGGCTCAATCTCCAGTCTGGACCTATTCTTGGGTTCCATCACTGGCCTAGCTGGGGAGGAGGAGACCCATGGGTCTCACGTGCATGTGGGCACATGTCTGGGGGTGTGGTGTGTGTGTGTGGGTGGAAGTGTGACTGTGGGCATGTGTGGGAGTGTGTGCGTGCATACATGTGTGTGCACACGTGTGCGTGTGTGAGAGTGAAGGTGGCAGGGGCCACGTTGCTCTGACAGGCTGGCCTCTAAGGGATGGAGGTCCTGCCCTGGGCAGCAAGCCCACTCCCTGGATGTAGTCTTTGGGTATGAGGAGATGTATTCTGAGGGGAGAGGGTCCCTGGACCGGGGGGTCTTCCAGCAGTGAAGCAGGTAGGCCTTGTGGGTCATGGACATCTGAGTGTCCATGTTAAAGAGAGACAGTCAGAGACACTCGGGTCACCTGCATGCTTTCTGAGACTTTCACCCACAGCAAAAAAGGAACCAGGGAGATACTGTCTAAAGTCCAAGAGGAACCTGTCCTGCTCCTTCCCAGAGCCCTGTGAGTTGTCACAGAGCCTCTGCCAAACACTTGCCCTGGGTCCAGCCTGAGCCAGCCTTGGGAGAGAACAGAGAGCAGCCTAAAGTCAGGTCCCCTCAAGCAAGCTCACCTTTCCACCAGGCTTCTGAGAACTCCAAACCCATCGACTTGAAACCTCCTTGTCGAATGGAATCTATTTGATCCAAAGGTGGGGAAACCTGGAAGGGAGGTGCCATATCCCCATTTTGCCAGCGAGGAAGCTGAGGATCTGACAGGGCAGCTGGAATACAGGAGGGGGAAAGTGGCTCTCCCCCAGCCAAATTAGAATTCCCTTGCCACTGAAGCTTGCTGGAAATGAACTGAAGAATTTTTGAATGGATCAACCAGGCACTTAAATACATGAGACAGTGAAAAATATGTTCACAATGGGAATGTCACCATTTCACTTCCAAAAGTCTGTTGCTGGAAGTTCCTATCGTGGGGTTGCACTATCCAGCATGACCTGGTGCAGCACTCTCCCTGCAGCATGCTCCTGCTCCTTCACCAGCTCACTGGCTGGGGAGCCTGCACTGGGCTGGAGGCTGGCTGAGGCCCTCAGGTTCTGCTGCATCACTTCCTCTCCTGCGTTGAATGAGGGAGTGGGGACGAGGCTGATAGACATTTGGGATTTGGAGAAGCAAGGACCTGTCTGTAGAGGGGGCAGCTGTCAAGACGCAGGAGCTTCCCAGCTCTTCACACTACATCATGTGGTCTCTAAGCCTGTTTCCTCATCTCTATGGGGACAATTAAAAAACCGCCAGTCCTGCCTGCCCCACTTTGCAGA